AGTGACATGTTAGAGGGGTTAAGAATTTCCAACTAGGGGTCCCCTCAACTCCAAATTTGGCTATACACCTAGAGGAGAGTTTTCCAGTCAAATCAGAATGAGCTGCCCCTGTATCTATAAGCAGTCAAATTGACTCACTCATGACATCCAACATTATACAGGCTTCCTTGGAGGAGATGGAGATGTCCATGGACAGAGAGACATTGAAGGTTCCCCTGAGCCTCTTCAGAGCAGGAAATGAGGATTCTGGTCGGTCTAGCCCCTCTCTGGGAGTAGGGACAGTCAAATTTCCAGCGGCACAAGTCAGGTGCATTAGCTGCCTCACATGTGGGGCAGAATCTAGGCAGAGGCCTGGTGCAACCTTATGCCCAGTGTCCAGTCCTCTTCTATTTGAAACAAGAACTCTTTCCTTGATTGTCCTTGGATTTTTCCTTAGATGATCTTGGTGAGTTTAAAGCATTACCAATTGCAAGAGCTATAATCTTACCTTTTCTCTTTTGTCTCTCCTCTGGATCTCAATTGTTGAACACAGAAAAAGTCATGTCCAGTAATTGAGCCATAGGTGTCTGTGGCCCCACCTGAAGTTTTTGTAGCTTACACTAAATATCTGGGGCCGATTGAAGATGAACTGATGTCCCATTTGTGCCTCTTCCCCCTGGAATATGGGTCTATATTAGTATACTTGCAGAAGGCCTCTGCCAATCAGTTGCAAAACAAAGCTGAACTTTTCCTCTGACCTTGCAATAAGAGCTCAAAAGCAATCTTGTTACTCTCTCAGTTTCCCCAGATGCCCATCTTTCTTCATATAAAGTTTCTCTTCCCAGTGGCACCAACTAAGTGATAAATGTGACATTTGTCCCACATTTTAGCTGCACATTATTTCCCGTAAGAGCACCAACCCAACCTTCATAGAAATAACAAACTTTCCTGATGGTTTGAAGAAGCAAGGATCAATACATCATAGCAATGCAAACAACTTAGAATCGGAAGTTAGATATCTCCTGTCTTAAAATTCTTCAGTCGCCCCCCACCAGGAATTTGTCATTGACCACTACTGGCCACTTATTCCAGAGTCCTGAAACACTGCCTACTCCCTCTGCTCCTCATCCTAACCTCTCTTCCTTCACTGCATTCTTGATTTTTCTCCCCTCTCAAACTTCAGTCTTTATTTTAAAAACATCTCATCCTGCTTATTTGATCTCTTCTCCCCTTCCAACCTATACCAATACACTTCCAACTACTTCCCAATCTACTTTTCTGAACAAAACAACTCCTTCAATAGAAGAGCTCAAAATTTGACTATCAGCTATGAAGATAAACTAATTCAGTGTTTTTATAGCCAGCAATTGAATTCTTCCAGTGGGAAGTGTCTTTGTTTAGAAAATTTTGATTATGGAACCTTTTTGGTTTTTAAATTTTTATCTTCATTAGTACATGTTTGCAGTAAATAATACCAGCTACTTAAACGATCATCATGTGACCCAGAATGTCATGCAGTGCCTTTCCCTATCACTTTTTGATACAGAAAATGTCCCATCAGTAGTGATAACAGCAGTTTGAAAGCTCAAAATTCCATACAAAATCCCATCTCCTGCCTCTGACCCTCCCACATGCACAACTTCCACACATCTTCCCAGGTTTGTTCCCCACTAGGCTTTGAAGAATCTGGTCATCCAGGCCTTAGACTGTGTTACAGCAGGTTGTTGGATGTTGGATTCCTGCAGGTCAAGAATCACTCTTCTCTGGGTTGGCCACATCCACTAGGCTCCACAGCACATTTGAGATATCACTCAAGTAGCCACCCACACCACTGCTGCACTTCAGACCACTGGATTGCCACTGGCTATGTCGTTACACCCTCTAAACCAGCCACAGGGTCTTACTAAATTACCCAGGTGCGGCTCAAACTCACGATCCTTCTGCCTCCGCCTCCTTCGTGCTGGGATTACTGCACCACATCCACCTCCCTCTTCTCAATAGTGCTCACTATTAGAAGTGCATTTCTCATGTCAAAGGACCCTTTTGGGAGTTTTGTGTTCAAAACCATCCCTTCCCCTGGAGGCACATGAGTCAATATCTTGATTTTGTAAATAAAGCTTTACTGAAAAGTAGCCACATTGATTCATTTACATATTATGTATAATTGCTTTCTACTGCAGTACTAGAGGTGAATAACATGATAGACAGACATGGCAATCCCCAATACCTAAAATACTTATTTTATGACCCTGTACATTAAGATTGTTGACCTCTGCTATAGACAAAAAAAAAACAGTATTGTCAGGATTCCGCTCTTCACAGTGTGGGCTGAGGTACCCCTAGATTCCTGTCATGAGGGCCTCTCCAGAAAATGCCTCAAATCATGCCAACTGGCCTCCCTCAGAGAAAGCAAGCAAGCAAAACAACAGCGACAAGAGAGAAGCCATAGATTACCAAAACCTAACCTTAAAAGTTACTTCTCCTTACCTTTGGTGTGTTCTGTTCATGAGAAGTAAATGACTGGTTCAGCCCACGGAAGTGAAAGGGTGTCCACATGGGTGTGAACATCATACTTGCAGGGATGTTAAAATCAGTGGGGAACACCTAGAGACTGCTGATGACACCCTCCTGGCCCATAGACAATAACTAGCTGTTCCTCACCCTTTGCTCACTGCTGCAATCCATTAGGCTCCTTTCATATTAGCCAGTATTCCTCTGCCCTGATTTTAAAAGTGTAATAAAATGGAATAAGACAAAAGAAGCTACAAATCAAGCTTGGAAACAAGAAAATCAAATACTAATGTAGAGTTTTGGAAGGCTAAAAGATAATATTTGAATGGGGTGAGACTTTGTTTAATTTTTCCAAAAAACTCTGTAAAAAAATAATACTGAAAGGAAACTAAGCAAGGTTTTGAACAGGCAGAAAATGGAGGCTTCCCCTAAAAAGAGGAAGAGAAAATGAGGTTTAAATAAGACTTTTCTGTTATAAGTACTTCTAATCTTTCTGTAGTCCTTATACAAAAAATGGAATTTGCTCAGATAGAATAGGGAAAGATAAGGGAAAAAAAAGAAAATGGGGAACCAAAAAGGAAGATAAGCTATGAGCAATAATGAAAATTAATCATAACATCTGGGAACATTTAGACGACCTTTATACGAAAGGAGGCACAAATTCCACCGAAACTAATTACCTTATTTTCAACTTTGACTTTACATGAAGTATGAATCTAGAGAATAAAACAAATGTTTACTTTTAGTGAAATGATTTTCAGGTAATAATGCATTGCCATCTCTCAGGATGAAGAAGTCTTTCCATTTCTAACATTTTTTCTGGTTCTCGACATTTTCATCAATCACTGCCATATGACGTCACTAATCTGAAGTTTAGTACTAATGCTAAAATAATTTACATTTTTATTAAAATCCTTATGCTTCCTAGAAAATTATTTTTATCCCAATAGGATCTGATGCACTCTGAAAAAGAAATGGGAGGCAAGACTTTACATGTTAGCTCAGTATGTACAGATTTTAACGGGATACTCTGGGGTTCAGAAAGGGAAAACAGAAAGAGGTTATAGTCCCCTCTTCTTCTTTTCTCCTCCAACTCAGAGTGAGGGGTTGTCTAGACATATGTTAAGAGCTACAGGCACACTAACTGAGGAGTAAATATGAAATGCATGGAAATTGTATCCTTAGCTATCAGATAAGTTATGTCCTAATTTTCCACTGATTCTTGAGAAAAAGATGGCTGGTCACTTTTGGAAAATGTTGCTATTTATAAAATATACCCTCTGATTATCTGATCTAAAAAGAAAAGCATATTTTAAAGTCAAGGACAATTTTTAAAATGAGTATGATTTTATTTCCATGGCACTAAGTTTTACATGTAATAATTACATACATTTAAAAGTGTATTTACTTAGGGTTATATACCAAGCATATACTTAAATTAACTTTATTTTTTCTATTGCAATCACCTGAAAATTTTTATTCTTTTACAATTTAGAGTCAGAAAATTCTTCCAACTTTTACAAGCAAACATTTCCAAATATAGTGAACATCATTAGCCATTTAATTAAAATTCTCTAAGGAAACTTGCCATCACCAAGAGCACCCTCCTTGCCACATTTGTTAGTGGGTTCCAGGTGAGTAAACACCATCAAAACTAATAAATCACCTCAGATCATTATGTTGGGAGGGATCATGGTGATAATATTGGTGGTACAGTTGTATCACTTGCTCATCTGTATTAACTGGCTTCCTGTATGCCTCACTGTGTCCTTTTCTGGATTACCCATTCAGAGGGGACACCATTTATTAATATTTATTTTTTAAAAATAAAGGCCATGGATTTAGCTCAGCAGTGCTGGCACCTGTCTTGCAAGCACCTGGCACCAAAAATTTAAATTTAAATTTAAATTTAAATAAATAAAAATAGGTCACAAATAAATGAAAGTCAAAGACTTCTCATAAAAATAAAGCTCTACTGTAACTGATAATGTTAACTTTCACTTGATGAAAAAATACAATTTCTACTTGAAAAGAAACTTTGCCTTAACTATATTTAAATTATATAAAGCCTTTGTCCCTTAGAGTTCACAGCTCCTCATTACCTACAGAAAAATTACTGAACCACAGAATAATAAAATGATACATTTGAAAAGAAATTCTGGTACATTTGATTTAATCAAAAGATTACACAATGACATTATCATCTATTTCAGGCAAGGAAAATGACTTGTTTGAAGTTGGACATCAAAAAAAATTATACAATGGAATTACAATATAATTAGTTAAATTTTAAATATGCATTCCAAGATCTGTCATGTAAAGGTACAAGATCCCAGTGATGAATGTAACTGTACTGTATACTTAAAATGTACCAATAAACTCAGAGAGGAAAAAATAAATAAATATACATTACTTTTCCCGATGTATAGAGTATGATCAAAATAACAGTAAATGTTTACTTTTTTAACATAATAGTGTAAATGACACAATGACCTCAAAATGCTCGCCTTCATGCTGAACACACTTATTTCATCATCTTTGCCTTTTTCTGAAGCATTTCGGAACATCTTCATTCATGAGTGTCTTTAGGATGTGAGATCAAAAATAAGATGAATGCAGGCCCGGGATTTCGTTTAGTGTTGCTGCTGCTTGCCTGGCAAGTTCAAGGTCCCAAGTTTGAATCTGGGTACAAATAAACAAATAAATAAATAAGATGAATGCTATCATTGAGTGACATCCAACAGAAAGCCAAGCTTGTGAAAACATAGCATGTCTTCATCCATCAGATCTGGAACCATGAGATTTCTGACCTTTCCCCAAATTCAAAATGACTATGAAAGGTAAATAGCTTGAGTCAGTTCAGGACATCAAGGCCGCTGCAACAGCACAACTAAAGACATGAAAAAGGACTTTCAGAACAGGTTCAGAAAGTGGCAAGAATGATGGCATAAGCATTTCCAAAGTAAGGGGGAGATTAATGGCAATGTGTCCTTTACAGTCATAATTTTTTTAATTTGAACATTCATTGTATTTTGATCACGCCTCATATGTTGACTCACCAAATAGTCACTGAACCTTACTACTATATGCCAGACACAGCACCAGGCATTGGGAGTAAGTAGATAAGTAGAATGCAGCCTCTGACCTCAAGATATTTAGGGTCAACCAAGGAAAGATAAGCAGACTATTGAGATATTGGGAGGTAAGGGCTGTAGTAGAGGCAACATTCCACAGTAGTCTCTCATTGCTGTTATAATAGATGTATATTCCTTTAACAAGGCATAGAACAGTTCTAAAAATTTCTATTGGTGATGATCTCATCCTGAAGGTGAGAAAAGGAAAGCAAGGTGTCATCCTGTTATGAAAATTTTCTCACCACATACTATTAATATCACTTGTTTTGAAAGAGAATTAAAAGACACAATGATGTTCTATAATCCTGAGATAGCATCAAACTGATGAGCAAGTCTTGACAGAAACAAAATTTTGATAACCAAACTCTAAATCCACAAGCAATTACCCTCTTTTCTCTGTGATTTGAAGAAAAATGAATCAATAAAAAAAAAACCCATCCATTCTACCCCATACATAGCTCATGGGTATCAACAGCCAGTGAGATATCATCCACCAGTGAGGAGCTGGCACGAATATGTGCGTGAAAGGATGGGGAGCTGTCTGAGCCCTGAATGGAAACACTAAGCCGCCTCTGTTCAGATTATGTTTAATCCTTTCTCCTCTGACACCCTTTAATTTGGAATTTTCAGGGTGAGGTACAAGAATTACATGGCTGAAAAGGCTTCCTCTCCATGGCTTTCATCTTGTGGGGGACAATTCCCTGGCTGACCCCGAAAGTTTATGGTCCTGATCGGGATAGGCAAATGGGAGGTGGATCTGTCCATACCATCAACTCAACAAGGTGAATTCATTCCTGTTTCAAGAGACTGGTGGGGAAAGTGCTCAATTTGGTCAAAACACATAATTAAGTAAACATCTAGAAAAAAATCTCACCTGAAGCCATTGTCCAATAAGCAATTACCCCATTGTTAACATGTTCCTTCTTGTTCGACTCCATACTCTCAGAGGGTGGAGACTGTTACAAAGTATTTATGTTCCTTCCCCAACATCCATATGTTGAAATCATGTATTAATTAAGGTTCAGAATCATGTATTAGTTAAAAAACAGAATCAACAGAATCTATACTATGCATAATATATGCATATAAAATCGTGAAAGGGGATTGGCTTATAGGATGAGAGTCAGGTAGGTAGTTCACAATGACTGTCTACATGCTAGAGATCCACAGGATACAATAGCTGCTCAGTCCAAGAAGCTGAAAGTCTCAGAAAAAAGGACAAAGGTGCAGTGCCAGCCCAAGACTAAAGTCCTGGATGCTCCTTGGAGAGTTGCTGATGTGAGTTGTGTTGAAAGGCTGAAGAAGGTGGAGCTTGGTGTCCACAGGTGATAGCAGCAGCAAATTATGCAGCAAATGGAACTTTTCAAAATGTAAACTGGCTTCCTCTTTTCACTGTACCTGGGCTGCAAGTCTATTGGATGGTGGCACTCACAGTCAGACCAGGTCCTGTGTTTGCTAGCTTACACTCCAGTCACCTCTGGAAATAGCCCACAGACACAACCAGATGTTGTGTTGCTCTGCTAGGCATCACTTAATTCAGCCTAGAGTGACAATTAACAAATCCTAACCCACAAACTAATAAGAGTTTTATGTGGAGGAGTCTTTGGGAGTCATTAAATCATGACAGTGAAGTTCTTCAGAATAGCATCAGGCACTTTCCTTACAAAAAGGATCCCAGAGAACTCTCATGCAAGAATACCACAAGAAAATGGCAATCTGAGACCTGGAAGAAGCCTCACCAGAACACAACCATGCTGGAACCCTAGTCTCACACTTGTGGACTCTAGAACTGCACAAAATAAATTCCTGTTCTTTCTAAGACACCCAGTCTCTGATACTTTGTTGTAGCAGCCCAAATTAAAACAAGGACCAATTATCCTCATCACTGTGTTCCCAGGTTCTGGTACCAGTGTGTTTCCACTGCATGAGAAGCTTTGAAATTTGGTTGAGTTCACTATAGAAATCAATATGGAGATACCTCAAAGAACTGAGACTAATAAGATTCTAATAAGATTACTGACATTTAGAAATGGGAGGAAAGGAGCTAAAGGTGTAGGGAAGGTGTGATACGTAGGGGAAGAACAAAAAGGGAAAAGAAAAAAATGTGAGAGAATGAAAAGATGAAAATAAAGTGTTTGTAGATGGGGAGGGGAGGAGGGGGTGAAGGGAGGGCAGAGGTAAGGGGAAAAAAATGAGAATCAAGACTTGCCATGTAAAGGTACATGATCCCAACAATGAATGTAACTGTACTGTATCCCTAAA